GTGAATCGGATTTTAAATTCAGCCTCAGAATTTTGCATAATTTCATTGCTTGACGTGTGTGTTCTCAGTTGTATTCCATGTTTTTTTTTGTAGTACTTCACAAAAAGATGAAAGGAAAATCGTTGATTTTTTCTCCCATTGTTTTGCACTATAATGGATTTTTCACTTTTTCAAGCATGGTGATTTGTAATGATGATGACAACGAACTGTGTTGTTTTTTTGCATAGTGTATAGTAGTGATGTCTAAGAGATATTGCTGTTTTTCTACTCAACCTTGTTGTTGTTTTTTTGGAATGAAAAAAAAAACTGGTTGAAAAATACAGAATCTCTAACTCATTCCGTAGCAATGAAAAGCCGAGCATGTTATTTCCAAGCCAAACCGGGGAGGAATGATACCGGTACTTCGTACTAAAATTTCGAAGTCGAGAGAATGTTAGTTAGTGCAAATTCGCATCGCTATCGATGGGCCATGAATGCAACAGCATAAGAAAACAGAACCGGATTACTGACTAAAGCAGAAGATCGAACGCTGGCTGCGACAGGAAGAGTGACGTCGAGAAAGATATACGATTTCCATGACCGTACAAATCCAAATAGCAAGGTGCATCAGAATTGCCGTTGCGATCACAGGTTTTTTTTTTCGCTAATCCTGAAGAAACCATGCTTTCGGTCTTTCTTGAAACTGCGCAAAAAGGGGAGTCGGCTGGATTAGTGACGTTGCATTACAGGACCACGTGAAATCTCGGCCTTCGGCATTATTTTGAAGAGAGGTTATCATGAGGTTTTGCACCCTCAAATTCGCCATATCCGTACACAAAACATAGACATTTGTGGGGGCTAGTTTTACGCTTTTAATGACACACAAAATATGCCAGATCGAGAAGGACCGCTTGTATGTCCAATTCCTACCTTCAGGCCGAGTCTCAGTTCTATTGTAGGCAATAACCCCGTCCTTTCCCTCCATTACGATCTCTTAGACTTAAACACTATCGAACTATAACACATTAACCATTACACGCGTGTGCCAGGGAGCTGGAAGATTCACATTTTGCAGTGTACCTCCGCATCATGTACTTGGTCCTTCTACATTTGCTGATTTTGCAGAGTTCCCGCTAGATAAGGCTTAATACCATTATGTACAGAATGAATACTGTTTGTACTTGCACACTCTTGAGCAACGTCCGAAATTTCTCTGCCTCATACAGAGCAAATACGGAAGAGGTTTTGACTTTTGACTTTAACACAAGGAGGTAATCTTTGATCCTCGGGATTGCCTTTCTGTTTACAGGGATGTTTACAGTAACGACAAAATTTCTTTCCTTCCAAAGCACAAGCCTCGTCCGTTCCCGGGATTATTCGGTTTTTACGCGACATTCCACTCCTTGGCCGGAAACTGGTGTTCGAGATATCCTGGATACCCTCGTGTCATTCCATTTGTTCGCTGATTCAGCTACTCACGCGATGTACTCACACTGTTGTTTGATGCGTTCAGTGAGTGATCAAAGTTCTTTTAGCACCGGCGCTCTGTGATTTCAATTTTCTGATGGTCGTCTGGAGCCTGTACAGGATTTTTTAAGATTGAGTGAAATGAGGAAGAAATTTTGCTTTTATTGTAAAATAGTAGAATGGAAGGATTTGTCATAAGCACCATGTGCCGAAGGAAATGTTACGATGTAGGGCGTCTGTATTTCATCCCTTTAGCTGTAAACACAGACTGAGCAATCTGACAGAGCAAAATTTCTCATTGAAAAGAATGCACTTTGTTTTATGGACAAGATCTGTCGTTCTGGTGGTTTAGGCCTATATCTTTATGCGTTTTTGTATATATACAATTGCAGAAACGTATATTGTGGCGACCCTTGATGTGCGTATGTGTGTGTGTGTGTGTGTGTGGATATTTGTGTATGTAAATCTGTCCTGGTATTTCAACTCGGCAACGAAGCAAGCTCCAGCGATAAGATTTTGTCAATGGGTTTTCTGGCCAACTGCCTCCTCCAGGACCACAGTATCGACCTTCACGCACATCTAGGCCCAGCGTACAGATATGTGAAAATTTTGGCGGGAAAGTCGCTAACTCGGGAACCAAAAAAGCCGGAGGGCTGAAATTTTAAGGGGATGTTCCCAGCCCATGTACAGCCTAAATGTTCCGAATTCAGCCCCCAGATGTGCGTAGTTTTCACGTACAGGCCTGATGAAAATTTTTGTCAAGAAAATTGCTAACTCGAAAATCAGAAAAGCTGGAAAGCTGAAATGAGCTGTTCCTCTGTCCCAGTTCTGCACGATTCTTATGTATGAGCCTGTGAAATTTTTTGGCCGGAAAATTCTCGGAAAGTAGAAAAGCTGGGAAGCTGAAATTTTCCCGGAATGTTTCCTCGCCAAGTATCACGCGGTTCTACAGTTAACTTCCTGAACTTCGAGGACCAGTATGTCACAAATTCTAGCTGCTGGCGTCCTAACTGATCTTACTACAGCACGAAATACTGCAAAAACGCACAATGGCACGGGCCAGAGTGGCTGAAAAACTCGGTGATTTTTGCAATTTGAACCCAAAACCCAAAGAACTCAAAAGCGAGTGCATTTTGCGCGGTTGAGCCGAACCAACAGAAGC